CTCATTATTTGCTGATAAGAAAGCCACTCTTATATCTATACTAATATATGTATATTTTGAAGGCCGTTTTATTTGTGTTCGCAAAGCATGAGAACGGCTGAACCGAATTCTTTGAAATTTCAGCCACTTACCGCACGCGTCCCAAGTATGGTTTTAGGCTATAAAAAATTCGACATATAAAGGGGGCGTGGCACCTCCCATACAAACCGAATTTTTCATACTGCATATCTCTGAAACTGTTAATGGTAGAATACTGCAACTTGGTATGGCGATATATTAAATCAATCGCAACCTCATGAAGATAAATTTGAGCTATTGGAAAAGGGAACGTGCCATCTAACATACAAACCGAATTTCTCATACTACGTATCTCTGAAAGTGGTTCATGGTAGAGTAATGGAGCTTGGTGTGGAGATATATAAAATCAATCGCATACTCATGAAGAAAAGTTGGAGCTATTGAAAAAGGGGGGCGTGGCACATCCCATACAAACCGAATTTTTATACTGCATATCTCTGAAAGTGTTTATGGTACAGTGTTGGAACTTCTTATGGAGATATGTATGTATATGAAATCAAGCCCACCCTCACGGGGAAAAATGGGGCTATTTGAAAAGGGGGCGTGAGGCCTACAAACATACCGACTTTTAGCTATCTTTGAATGTATTTATAATTCTTCTGTAGATGTGCTTTTGAGTGAAATCCTCCTAAATGGGTGTCCGGATTTTACCGAAATTTTTTGTGTGTTCGAGTGGGTCTCTGGATGGTTTAGTTTCAAAATTTAACCCACCTGTTGGCGCTTTAGTTGAGTTATTACTAAAAATCTTATTTATGGTCCGATTTGGCTAATATTTAAAATATGTATTGGTAATAGTAAGAACAATACCATTGCAAAAGAGTGCTGCCAAGTGGCGCTGTAACCGAGTTATTACTAAAAATAGCCACGTGAGAAAAGGTGCCGTGAATGTAAATTAAATCGACCTGTTGCACCATTGAGTATATCGTACTCTCCTGTGTTACGGTTAGCCCAATGGATGTGATTTTTCAATACTATTCTGCGTTCAAGCTTTTAAGGTATTTTGTCTGAAATAAGCATATGTATATTGCATTTCTGTAGAACCCCATTTTTAAATTGCCACCAACTATACTATAAAGCTTCTAGGACAGCTTCACTGCAGAACAGAATCATTGTTGCCGCCAGGAAGTGAAGATGAAAAAGTTTTTCAAATTTATTTCGTTGTGAGATTAACCGTTCTATGAAATGCTGCACAATTAAAGAATTTCAAGAACTTCTTCACGGGCATAACACTTTCGTTAGGTTATTTAAAGCGGCAAATGACCGCCAAACTATAATCTTAGCAGATGAATGTGCCAATGAATTGAAAATGTTGAACGAAAAAGTTTCAACATAAAAATAAAAATTTTGGGCGGGACGAAGTTCGCCGGGTCTGTTAGTAAGTAATATATGGACGCCAATTCACTTGTATCCTCGTTGTGGATTTGGATGATAAGTGGTCCTGGTCGATGGATTTAGGCTTATGGCAGCCATTTGACAGTTTCATAAAGTGAACATAGATGTCTACTTGTATTTATTTAGGAGGGTATTACCGTTCCACCGCTACCGATTAATCCTTGGCTAATTCGTTTGCTCTCTCGTTGCCTTGGATGTTCCTATGGCCGGGAAGCCATACAAGGGGAGTTGATATTAACTGAGTCACCGAGCATAGTTCCATCTCTCATTCTTTGACTAATCTAGAAATGGTTCGAGTAGATGATATAGCTAGGATTGCTGCAGGCTATTTGAATAAATCACCGCTCTTTCATTCCTGATACCCAGGGCTTCAGCCTGAAATATGCTGGCATGATTTTCCAACCACAGAGACCGATGGATTCCAAGCTCCTCTCCCTACATCGCAGCCGTACAGATCGCTTCTTTATCAGCAGTTTGGCCCCTTCTCCATTCCCTTATCGATGGAAACGGCACTAATACATTCAGAATAAGATCCAGGTATATTTTCCCTTCCCTTTTATCTTTAAGACCTGGTTTAAAAATATTTTTTTGTTCCATCTTATTATGATTACAAATTTAACAGGTTCAGAAAGGAACTATTAAAAAAGACTTATTAAACTCCATTGCAATCGAAGACTACTTAATGTCGAGTTTTACCCACTGGGATTCTGAGAGGCTAGTTACTGCCTGATGGCACGCCGTGAAGTCGAATTCGATACAATTTTATTTAAATGCAGCCATTGGAAGGGTTAAAGACTAACCGCACGTTCTCTTTTTTGCTGGGTACAGATGTCTAAGCATATACAATAGGGCGGGTTGATTTTTTTTTTTTAAATCGTATAGCAAAAACGTAAACTACATAAAATTCTAAGAAAATTCTCCGAAGATACCATGTATATAAAATAAAATCCTAATCCGCGCCCCTCGACTTGAAAATTTATATGGCCGCCTTTGCCAAAAAAATAAATGTTAGAAAAAAATAGGTTTTTCCAAAAAGAAATCGAATTTTCTGAATAAAATTGTTTAGTAAGGTAGTTCTTTTGCACTTTATATTTTTTCTACACTCAAAATTTATTTCACTAAAAATAATATTCACCCAAGTACGCAAATCAGAGGAGATGCAAATTGGGGTCAACTGCTATTTTGATAATTGATTATTTTGATTAGTCTCAAAACAAAACCTGTATTGCGTAAACTATAATATAATATAATAAAACATAATATATTTCAAAAAAAGAAAATAATTTTAGCGAAAGAAGAGGAAAAAAATTTTCAAGTCGAGAGGCGAGCACTAGGGTTTGATTTTAGACCCATGGTTTCTTCAGAGAATTTTCTTAGAACTTAATGTAGATTACTAATATACATAATTGTAAACCTCATTAAACTATAACTTCACGTGGTAAAATTTCGATACTTGTATCGAAAATGAGATTGACTACTAATAAAAAAAATGCGTGCTGCATAATATTAATATTTTATACATTTATCAATTTGTACAAATACGTGCGATATTTAAGTAGTTAAAAATTGAGCACATGGCATTTATCAGCTTTGTATGAAGTTTTTTTTTTTTGTTTTGATTGAAATGTCTGACGTGGTTGTCAAATTTCGCGTTGCACTGCAATAATTGATGTGAAAATAATCCATTACGTGAGGAGATAAATTGTGGCATAGTTGACCGGAAGGTGTTTTCAAGCTGATTATTTTCTAATGTTTGCAAAATTTTAGCAAACACATGTGCCGCGAATGAGTATTTGTCACTTTTTATGAATTATGCGAATGACTAAGATAATGTTTTTCCAGCGACTGAAGCAGTTATAAACCAGTAAACATACTTTATAAAAATTCTGGCCAAAAAGATAATTATGCATAAAGAAATAGACTAGGGAACGAAAAAATTTATTAGCATAACAAGTAGGTTTTGAAAAATACATATTTAATTACGTTTTATTTATAGTTTGAGTTTTAAGTAAATTTACTTTGTACCAATCTCTTCAAACAAAATTTGCGTTTTTTTTTGTTTTTATTCAAATTCAAGGATTTAAACGGCTGATTCTATTTCAATTAATTCAGGGTGAATGGTAATAATTTACCAAATTGGCAACCCTGCATACAATTCTGCTATCACTAACACTTTTTCTTTTATTTTCAGATCTAAATTCGTGAACTTTGCTGAAAACAAATAAAACAATTCAGGTACATTTGTTGCTCTTTTCAACAGGGACCGTAACGGTTACGATCTTTATATTAAAAATCATAATTTAACCGCTTAAATTGTATTTATATTTTTCCGAGCAAATTTAACCATTATTTTATGATTTTTTCGATCAGTTTTTTATCGGTAGTTTTGATCCTTTTTTTCGGTCATAGTATAACCGTTATTCAGATTTTTTTTACATCATAACGCTGTCCCCATCATAACGGTTAAAAATGATAAAAAAAAGAAACAAATCCTGAATTAATGATTATTTTTGATCGAAATTGTAAAACTCGATTATTCTTGATCGGAAGAATAAAAACAAAAATAGCGTTTTGCAATAATCTGAAAAATAAAATCTTGATATTTAACGCTTATTTTCGGTTCCTGTTTTTTAAAGATTTTTCGTTTAAAATTTATAATAAAATTTCATTCTTCTCTTATCCAAGGATCCAAAACTCACACTAAAAACAAAAGAAAGAAATGTAAATAAAATGCACAATCATAAATAATTTTTCGACTGAACTTTGAGCTAGACTTGCACCGGAGAAGTAGAATAATAAAAAGAAAACCATTAAAACTATTTATAAATTTTTGAAAATTAATAAAACTTTATCTTAAATACGAACATAAATAATTTTATAAATAAAAAATAATTGTATCAATGAGAGATATAAACAATAACTTATACCAAAGATAAACAATAAAAAATAAATTTAGAAAGCAAATAATTTGCAGAAAATATTCACCGAAAAAAAGCAAAACTTGTTTCTAAATAAAAACTGACAAAAATATAATTTATAGGAAACTAATATAAAAGTAATAAGTGATTAAAATACAAAACATAATTTTTTTTTAAATCTCTTAAAACAAATCAAATACCAAATACAAAAATCATTAAAAGCAAATAAATACTAATTGTCAGTAATTTTAAACAAAAAATAAATAAGCTTAGTTGTATGGCAAACAAGTCTTTAAAGAATTTGCTTAAAGTACTTCCATCGATAACAATTAAATTAATAAAATAAAATGCAAAAAATTTACGTCAGCTAATGGCAATAATAACAACTACAACTAAAAGAATAAAATTTGATAAAAATGTTTATTAAACAATTTAAAATTATTACCGAAAATATAATAATAACAAATTAAATCAAACAAATTAGTTTTTTTAATAAGTTCATAGTAAAAGCTATGTAACTACGTATTGTAAATTGCACAAGTAAATTAACAAACCAAATAAACTCTCTAAGCAAGGAAATTAAAATTTTAAATAATTTCAAAAATAATGAAATTCAATTTTTAATTAACTTCCAAAATAATGACGCACTAAAATTTTAATTAGAAATAAATTTGCACTCAATCAATAACATCGGCATATTGGTATTAATGGTGTCGAAGCGTCTGAGCTACACATACACTACACTACAACATCCCTTCAACAACACAAATACGACTACAACAACCGTTGCTGACGCACGCACACGCACCATACACGTAACACTCAGAGACGAAAAGATGGCGGTAGCAAGATCGATAAAAATGTACCTGACCATTTTTGTGGCGACCACCTGCATCTATATGGTACTGTATCAGTATCATTTGTCACGACAGCCGGAACCGCAGCAATATTTGAAGGTAAGTGGGGAAATATAATAAGGGTAAAAAAAGAAACCACAATAAATACATATGTATGTGAATGTGCGATATTTCATAAACATAAAAAGAAATAAAAAATAACTGTCGGTAAAATTGTAAAAAAAAAACTAATCTTCTAATCCTGTGAAGTGTGTGGAATACCAATATTCCAAAGAATTTAGCCACCACTAAAATTAGTTGTGAATTTTAGGAGAGTTCATGAATTTTACAAAGCAAAAAATACTATAAAAGAAAATCTTTTTTTATGAACTCAACTATCAACGACAAAATTCTTACAATTTAACTCAAAATATACTACGAAGTGGAAAATAATTTTTTTCATTCTAATTATACATACATATAGCTCTGAAAGGGTTAATAAATAGATTTAAAATTGTTGAATTTATTTCTCTAATTTCGAACTCAATTTAAACTTTATAAAAAAGCTTAGAATTTCACTGGAATGTTTTTCGTACATAGTAACGATATTTTGTTACCACGTTTCGATAGCAATATCAAAAACCATATCGATAATTAAATAAACGAGTAAATATATTATAGTAAATATTCATAAATAAACCAATATCGATAGACACAGAGCAGAGCAGATTGACACTTGTTCTTGTGTTTTTTTTTTTTTGGTTAAAAATGCCTTGGGGTTTTCGACATTAAATAAATTTAAGTTCAAACTGATTAAAGTTCATTAATGATTTCGGAAAAAAAATATAATAACGGGTTCGATAAATACATCGATAGTTTAAACGATATTGATAAATAAGTCAAAACTAATATCGTTAGGTATATGGGTTGTCTTATCGATAAATATTTCGATAAGATTTTTAAAAATAATATCGAAAGCTACATTGACGAATATATCGGCGAGGACCCACTCTACCCATTTTTAACCCATTGCTAGAGAGTCCTTATGAGTAATTGTTCAATTATCTACTAACGCTGGATTAGGGTCCCAAATATGCATACCTTACAATCTCTTTAGAAAAAGAAATCAAAATATCACAAAAAAATTTGCAAGGCGTGATAAAAAAAATGTTTAAAAAATAATTTAAAAAAAAATAGTTATGTGTATTATTTAGAAAATATTTGTAAATACATTTTTTATTAATTTTGTTCTATTTAGTTTAAAATAACTTTTCGCGTTAAGAACAATTTATACAGAAAATTGAATAGATAAACTCTTTTAATATCAAAAGAAACTATTTTTTTTAATTTTTTCTTGGTAAGAACTAATAGAAAAAAATTCATTTGTAAAAGTTTACTTTTGCCTATGAACAAAATATTAAATGTCAAAAAAATGTTTACACAAATTTATTTTGACTGAAAAAAATTAAAAACAGCAAAACTATTATAATAAAAGTACACTAAAAATAAATAACAATATTATAAGATAATTCAATTTGAATTTTTAAAAAAAGGTCTTTATTTATAATATTAAATATCAAAAAAAAAATGGTATGAAATATTCCGATGAAAATTTTATTTTATTAAAAAACATGTATATCGTTTCTTTCGAAATTTTAAAAATGTTTGAATTCGTCTGCGAAAACAGATATTCTTAATATATATTAAAAAAGTACTTATAAAAGATTACCTTTATGTTTTTTTTTTAACTTCACAAGTTAATGGCCCTTAATACTTTCACTAAATTTGTTTACAAAATTTCTTTAGCGAATATCGATATGTTTTTATTAAAAAGAAAATAATGATTTTGTTTGATTTATTTAAGAACTCGTTTGAGAAATAAATTGAGTCGTTCCTAGAGTTGTTATTACATATTTACAAAAGTAATATTTGCAAAAAAAAGCACCTTTAAGGAATGAGCCCTCACCATTGGAAAGTAGTAGAAATATTTCCAAACAAAATTGAAGTGTATATTATTAGTGAGAGAAATTTTTAATAGAAATAAATTCTTTTTAAATTTTAGCGCATCTACCTTAAAAATACTTATGTCGTAGAAAACTCTTTAATTAATCCATATCAGCACACTTTTGACCCCTCAATTTCTGATAGTTAATCAAGTTTTCTAGCAATATCGCGTTTTTCTTCCACTTACCTTGAAATACCAGTTCAATATAAAATGTTCCATTAAGCGTACCTTTACTTCTGTTTCCAAACCGTCGTTATCAACTTTCCACACTTAAGTACTTTTCCTTATTTTCACTACCCCCTCTCTCTCTCTCTGCCTCTGCAACCGTAGCTCAACTCCCTGTTACACGTACTTTTCCTAACATCATACACACATACACACATACATATGTATGCACTCGTACCAGTATACACACTTGCATTCATCCATTCGTTCATTCATTCCCGTCTTTCGATTTTTCCAGAATAAAGATATCTCACCCGAAGCGGATGCCGTTGCTATCGCGAGAAAATATAATTCATTATTATGGTCACCAATGTCGTTGTTTAGTGCCCGACAACCACAACAACAACAAATACAGCAACAAAAACTACAAACATCAGGCGAACAAGCGCAACAATCAATCAGCGAAAAGCAATCAAATGCAACTACCTTTACAACTACCCGACGCGCAACAGAGCACAACGTTGTGGCTGCACAAGCGGATACAGCAGCCGCACTTGCATCGCCGCTATCATCACCATTACAGGCCACAAAAACAACAACACTTAGTTATCATACATTAAACTCATCTTCATCTTCAGCATCAGACTCAGCACGCTCACCCCCATCATTAGCCTTATCAGCAGCCCCAGCTGTGGTGGGCCCCCCAATTACATCGAAAGCAGCAGCAGCAGCAGCAGCAGCAGCGGCATCGTCTCATTCCCTCGTCGGCCAGCAACGGCATTTGATTACACGAAATGATATAGTGGTTGACATTTCCAAAAGGCGCGCACAACTGCTAACTAGTAATGCGAATGGCACGACAACAACGACAACAACAGCAAAGCGGTCATCAGCTATAGCGCGTGCACAAAGCATTGCTGCTGCTGCTGCTGCTGCTGAGGGTGTTGCTGCGGCTAAGACATCGCAGGCGGCTATGGCGTATACAATCTCCTCGCTGCGTCCAGCTGTTGGTGGAACATTTGCCAAAGGCACAAATCCATTACCCGTAAATACCGTTTTTTGCTCTTTTATTACCCCGCCTACCACGCTTGCAAAAAAAAAACAAAAACTTGCATGCCGTATGGAGAAAGCAAAAAATAATTCTTAATTGCCATTTGCTTGCTGTTGCTTGAGCTTTAGCTTTTACTTTGATTTATTCTTTGACTTTATTTGAGTTGCTCGGTAGCGGTATTTTGCATGAATGTTAGTGCTTTTTCTTTTGTAGTATGTATTTAGTGGAGTGGTTACACCGACTCTTTTGCATGCTTCGTATTTAACATATTTAAAATAAATATTTACTAATTTGTGTGCTGTGGTTTTTTAAAAATATGGAAAAATTTATTGTCTAATAATTACGCGTAAACAAAATTAGGAGTTGTACACTTACATACATATGTACATATGTAATATGAAGAAGTATGGTTCAGGCAACTTCGCAGGTTACGTATACGCGGTGTAGTCAAGAGTACTCCACGCTAAATTTTTTAAGACTTGTTAACCGTAATACTTAAAACTGTATACAATTAATGAATCCTTGTAATGAATCCTTGTTAGTAGCAGTTAAATTAAAGCTTAAACTATTTATTTGTGTTTTATGGTGGAATAATTGCATTTGCGCTTGTAGCCATTTTAATGAGAAAATTTTATGAAAATTCAAACAAATTTATTGCTGCAATTTCGGTGGTAACCACATTTCCACCCTTTCGTCACGGCGATTTGAACCGTGGCACTCAGCTAAGTAAAAGAAAAAATTCGTAGTTGGAAAATATGAATCACTTATAGTAGGTTTGTTCTGAAACAGCTAGAAATTTTTAAATAATCGCTTCTAACCTTTTGCTATTCATAACCATATTAAAAAAACTGTAGCAGGTAATGAAGATTTTTTAATTTTTCAATTAAAAACAGTTTGCATTTGGAGCCGGTACACATACATATGTACGTATATAGTCATGTGAAAAATAATAGGGATACGGCATTTTTACCACTTTTGGCTATTTTTCCTTTGTGTGTTAATGTTAATTATATTTTTTATAGAAATTTAGATTTTTTATAGAAATTTCAAACTTTCTTGAAAAATTCACCAAAAATTTGCAACCACAAAAACCTTTTTTACTAAGCCAATACTCTTTTGTACTATTTTTGTAAGTATTTTTGTCTTGTTTGATAATTAAATACAATTTTCCAAACAGGTGGCAGCCCTCCTCAAAAATAAACTTTTCCAAACCTCTTATATCTTGCCTTTTATGTTAAGGTTTAGCAAATTATGACGGTGACATTCACAAGCAATTTCACACTTAAATAAGCAAAGTATAACAATTGCAATTGTTATTAAATTTACTTAGAATTCCTTGAATATGAAAATCTTGACCCAATTTCTTAGGAGCATGTGTATACATAGACCGTACTACAAACAAACAAAAAAGTTTATGCAATGCTATTTGGAAGCAAATTTTTTTTTCTGAAACGTTTGGATGATAAAACTAAGATTTGGTGCATAGATCGATGTGTCATGCATAAAAATGTAAACTGGCGGCCCTACCAAAGAAAAAAATTCCTTTTTTCGGAATTTCCTTGCAAAAACATTTTAGATTCTGGGGCACACGGCGAACTTTTTTTCTGTTACGGTCTGATGAACATACCTGCGTTAAGCTGAGAAGCGAAGTTTAAAAAAAAAAAAATCGAATAAGAAATTTCAATGATATCAGATCAACATAGACGTAACCAGGATGCGCTCAAATTATAGAACGCCAATCACAAAATTTTTGATTAAGCGCTGTTTTGTTTTTCAAATTGTTCTTCTTTTTGATTCAGAAATGTTCCTAGAGCATCCAGATGCACTTGTAAGCAAAATTTAAATTTTAAACAAAAATGTCGCGGTAAGGAAGTTTTTATCACCCAAACGCTTCAGACAATAAATTTGTTTCCAAATTGCGTTGCATAAAACTTAAGACAGTGGTGCACAGCGAACTTTTTTTGTTTGCTTGTCATACGGTCTGATGTATACACATGCTCCTAAGAATTTGGGTCAAGATTTTCATATTCAAAATATTCTAAGTAAATTTAATAACAATTGCAATTGTTATACTTTGCTTATTTAAGTGTGAAATTGCTTGTGAATGTCACTGTCATAATTTGCTAAACCTTAACATAAAAAGCAACTAAATAAATACCTACGTATGTACATACATATGTACATTCAGACGTGCATACAACTAATAGGTAACTATTAATACACGGAATAGTTACTTGAATAGACAAATACAAAAAAAATGCATAGCAAGTGCAATCAAGTGCAAAAATTTTGTGCAAATGAATGTATGTAGGTATGCATATATGTAAGTATGTACTAGTATGTCAGTAAGTAGTCACAAGTGCACACGATCTTTGATTGCTGCATAGTTAGTATGAAAGCTAAATAGTTGAGCCAAAGAATGATTTACATTCATACGTGTAATTTCCAATTTGCATGCGCCTAATTTGAAAATTGCGTATTTGCAAATTGCACTTGGAATATGTACATATGTATTTGTTTACATAAGCATGCACAGATATGGGTATACATTGAATGCATGTAAATACATACTAACATATTTACATATGTAGGTATTTACGTATGTAGTTAAATGCAGTTGTACAAACGTAGCGACATTCAACATGGATTGCATGTGCACTGCATTTCGGAAATTGTTTATTGAATTAGTTTAGCTTAAACAATACATACATACACTTGTGGTCAGCTGATTAAGTTAAGTGACATTTTGATCAGTTTTGGTTATTTTTCCTTTGTCTCTTAGGTTAAAGTGCAAGTCTCAAGGCCCAAGAAAATCACTTTCATTTTTAATAATTTTTTTGGCTGACGGTGTTATGCATTTTCTCCCTTATAAAGTATGCTCGACAATTACTTCTATTATAATGCCTAGCACCGTCAGCAAAAAACCAAAAAATATAAAAAAATATTAACCTACTAAAATTTAATGGGTATGCAATTACCTATAATTTTTCCAAATTTTTTTAATGAAAAGTTTAAAATTTTTGGATGTAATTGTTAAAGTTTGTTGAATTTTTATAATTTTTCTACGAAGTTCAAAATGTGGATTTACGTGGTGCTGGTTAGTAATTGCCAGGCTTTTATTAAAAAAAAATTATAAACATTAATAGACGAAAGATAAATAACCCAAACCGGTGAAAATGCCACTTAACTTAATCAGCTGAACGCAAGGGTATATATATCTAAAATAAATAAGCGAAATCGTTTTAAAACATATTAACATTTGTTATTTATGAAGGAATAATTGTTAAGACTAAGTAAATACCAGACTAATAGAAAGCAAACAAATGTAGTAAGCTTATAACTATGATAATTTTGAGAAAGGAATAAAGGATGTTTTTTCAAGTACTGTTGCACTTTGGATTGAAATAAAATGGTGAGCTTACATAATTTAAACTGAAAATTGACTTTATTAAAAAGATGATTGTATGCCATTAGTGTTTGAATATTATTTGGGGTATGTGGGCGCCGTTACTGGCTCGAAGTCAGATTTGCAAGCACTGGGGGTCATATCTCGTCAATGGTTCACAGAATGTTCTCGTCAAATTCACTCAAAATTGTTAGCATAAACTAATGGCTTCACATATTCCCAGACGAAATGAAGCGCCTTGGCAAACCTACTTTTTTAATTTCGCATGACCCGTTCAAACAGACACTCTTACGCAGCAAGTCTGGCAACTGGGTTTCAACTCACCACAGTCTTTGGAAGCCAATTGTCAATTCTGGCAACTATCTTGAAAGCTGCTATCGAGTTTTTAAAAAATTAATTTAAATGGAAAAAACATACATATTTTTCTTTTCAAATCAACTTTTGATTGATAAATAAAAAAATAAATAAATTTAAAAAATGACAATGAAAAAAAAAAATATTTTTAAAAATTAATTGAAATAAAAATAATAATTTTTTTTCTGCTTTAAACAATAAAATCTGGAAATTAAATCAGAAAAACAAAAAATTTTTACAACAAAGGAGAAAATATTACTTAAAAATTAAGAAAAAAAATGTATATTTTTACTTTCAAACCAAGTAAAAAACAAGATCCTATATATTAAATGAAACAAAAAATATATTTTCTTTTTTAAACAATAAAAAATAAAAACTAAAGGAAAATAAAATTAAAAAAAGAAAAAACATTTAATTTCAAAAAGAACAAAACTAAACAAGTTCCTAAAAATTAAATAAAACATTCAAAAAAATTAAATATAAAAAAATTTTAATTCAAAAAGAAAATATATATTGCAATACTTTTCTTAAAATTAAATGGAATTAAAAAAAAATTATTTTTCTATTTAAAAACTAAAAGAAATTTAAATTAAAAAATAAAACAAAATTTAAAAAAAAATCTTCGCCACAGGTGGTGAATGAGAGACCTTATTTTCTAAGACTTTCTAAGAACAACTAAAGTCTTTCGAACTATCTTGCCATCTGTATTTCATTTGTCTTACGAAAGACTTTACACTATCTTTGCCAGAATTGACCTATTTGCTTCCTTCCGGTTCTCTTTGTAAAAAAATTTGGTGTTTTTCAATTTTTCTCTCCTACGTCCTCACTTAGTGAAAATTGCTTTGCGAATAAGCCGATTTTGCCATTTACAACGCAAGCGGCTTGATCAATCGGCAATATGGCTTCCGGAAAAACAAAAAATTTTAATTATGCCTAAAATTTTCCTCAATTGGTTTGTCAAACCTTCAAACAGCGCCATACACAACGCAAAATGTTTTAAGCTAATGGCTAAGGGAAATTTTGCTTCGTTCGTCAAGCCACTTGTGTGGTTTATTCTCTCTTTATTATTTTCCTGATTAAATGGCTAACCTAACTGAGCACAATTGATAATAGCGTTGCCAGATCTGACCAATTCGTGAACATTCAATTACTATCGGAAAATCTAACCTCAAAAAAACACCCTTTAGCTTTATTTGTGTCTTCTTACCCATATTCCAAGATAAATATAATTTTTCCCATTTATTTTTTAGACTAAGTCAGACGGTTGGGTATTTGCCGAACAATTGGGGAAAATTGGTAGCGCCATGAACAAAGTATTGGCCATTGTCCCAATCATAACAAACAGGTTTTAAGGCTGGGTCAGATTAAAATTTGGTGTGAATTGTTAGCAACAATCGTGGGATGGAAAAATATTTGCTTTTCCAAATCTTAACAAAATTTTTTTTTTACGTTTGTCAGTGATCCCACATTTTTTTTTTTTTTTTGCTTTTACGCTTCGCCAAAATAGTTTATATGTATGTAGGCGTGCTTTCTTTTACTTTCTTTACTTCATAATTTGCAAAATTTTTTTTTTTATTATACTACTTTTATTTTACTTTTTCTTTCTTTAGACAAAATGTTTTTCTTACACTTTGCCATTTTATTGCGCGCTGCTTGCTTTTATAGCGGCTCAACTAATTTGCATAATTTTCAATCAAAAAATGTTGCAAAATTTATACGAGTCACTAACTAACCAACCACTAACCTTCAGTAGGACTATTGGCGGCGAAAAATTTGTATATTTAGCTTACTAACACATAAACGCAAATAAAAAATGTTATACAAACATACATACTTTTCCATGCATATGAAATATGAAAAGCACTTAAGCAACTTTTTTTCGCCTTTCGTTTTCCTACAACAGCCACCACTCTACATCGTTACGCCAACCTACAAACGCGCCGAACAATTGGCGGAATTGACGCGGCTCGGCTATACCTTGAAGCATGTGCCGAATTTATTGTGGCTCGTCATAGAGGATGCGAATCGAACATCGCCGCTGGTGTTGCAGACGCTTAATCGCATTGGTGTGCCTTATGAATATTTTTTGGGTGAGTAAAATTCACTTACAGATATCTAAGTACTCATACACATATGCACATAAAGTGCTTAAGTATATATATATTTACACCCATTCGTTCTTTGTCGCATTTTTATGCAATTATTATTTTTCCTTTTTGGCCGCACTTGATTTATTTGCCTACATTTTCACGGTCACTGCGGCATCATACGAAACGTCGTCGCCGCTGTTGCGCTGATTGTGGCAAATGTTTTGCCTTTGGCATCGCCCCAGCGACAGCATCTCCATTAATGTTCTCCAATTTGATTCTATAGAATTTTATTTTTGTTTTCATCACTGATTTTTCTTTTTAACTTTTTCAGCACCCATGCCGGAGCAGTATAAAACAAAAAAGACTAAGCCACGTGGTGTTTCGAATCGCAATCGTGGCTTGGACTATATACGCGCGAATGCGACTAGTGGCGTCCTCTATTTCGCCGATGATGACAACACTTATGACATCTCCATTTTTGAGCAGGTGAGTTATGCATAGAGCAGATGATGAAGCCGTTTTTTTTTTGTTAGACTTTGACCAATTCAATTCAATTTTATCGCCTGAATATTGTACCACGAGTGTTTTTCATCTAGAGTTTTAGGCATCCAAAAAGTTTATTCACTCGCTGTTGTATGAAGGGCTTTCAGAGAAATTATCTGATACAAATCTGTTTTTAACCCGCTCTCTTGGAACTCGGCTGTACTGAGACTTGAACTTGAAAGACTTTGCGTAAAATCGTTCTAAATAGTCGTGGGATATAAAATATTGAGCACAAATCTTGCTGAGGAAGTCTTTGTCGCACAAATTCAGAATAAAAATATATTTTGAGGGCTCATAATGCTTCTGGGAATTGTTTTAACTTTAGCTAAACAAAGCAAGGCAGCTGAGAGGAAAGTGCTGAGCTTATTTCACTTCATCGTCCTCCAAACCTCCGCGCCCATTGAGGTCGGAGACGATGCTTCTAAAGCATACCGAATGAGTTCCTATCAGTGATGTGTGGCTCCGAGTACTTATAGAAGCTGCTCCGGTCCTCAATAAAGTGGTAACGGAAAGAACAAAAGATTTTAAAAAGGTTTTACAAAAATTCAATTTCTTTTTATATTTTTGTTATAAAGTAAAGTAAAGAAACTAAGTAAATATATTATGTTCATTCATGCCTTAGTTGATATTTGCGTTATAGAAAATTTATAAAAATAAAATACATTTAATTAAATTTAAACACTAAATTCAAAGGAACAAATTTTGTAGGTCAACTCAGAACTTAATATTATGTAAACAAAGTAAATTTCAAGTCTGTAGCATCAAAAACAACGAGTTGATCCGTCAGATCGGGTTTATGGCGGCTATATGGCAAATTTTCCGAACCGAACAAAATTTGATAGGTCAACTCAGAACTCTATAATACATATCTTCATATTTAGACTTTATGCTGAAACGATAAATTTTTTGCCCATAGTGTAATGTTCTTCTGTAGGATCCGTTTTCCTTTATTTTGGAATGGTTTTCAGTTCTTTACTTATTACCACGCTTTCTTTTTAAATTACTCTGAAATAAATTTCCATTTCTTCCAGAACCGTTTTCGGTTCTTTTGGATGCGAATATCGGTCCATTGGAACGTTTTTTCGGTTCTTTTGGAATCTAGTTTCGGTTCTTCCAGAACTGTTTTTCGATTCTCTTAGAATCGAGTTTCGGTTCCGTTAGAACCGTTTTTCGGTTCTTGTAAGGACCAGACCGGTCGGTTCTCTAAAGGACCCGTTTTCTCGGTTCGGTACATCTGTCAAAACTCCTGTAGTCATAACGAATTAACGTTAGGTTGTTTGAGAAGCTCCCTACAGTCCACCACCAGCCGAAATAACCTTGAAATGTTGCAGGTTGAGCGCAAAGTTAGATAACTTCGAGGGTCCAACTTCATCAGTCTTGAAGTCACCATCAGTTTCGCTGTGCTCTGGTTGCGTGGCTACCGACAGAGATAGCTGAGGCATTGCCTATGCAGCTTTGACAACAAGAAATCCAAAAACCCTGATTTGGCCGTGGCTAGCTTCTCTCATTGGTATTAGGCTGCCTTCTTTATCGCGGCAACCTCTGCTTGAAACACGATCCAGAAGTCTGGGCATGAGTTTGAGTTTTTTGAAAAGTTTCTAACAAGCGCTCCTCTATCTTGTTTGTCCAACTTCGACCCAACCCTGAACATGTTTACTAGACCTCTCTCTCAGTGGCTTCCTTTCCGTCGCTCACACCTTGAAGGGATATGTGCAGGAAAAAATCTGTTCCCAATTAGCATCAGTAAGCACCGGTCATATTTTTCAGATTTAGAACTTAAGCTTTCAAAGATCGTTGAGTGCCCATACGACAACTTAAAAGATAACCCGGTGCTCCTTGTTCTAATCTTATAATGGAGAGGACAGCGGGTGTCTGGGCGGATATGTGTACGGGTACTAACTATGTCTAAACAAATCTTTAGATATCTCAACTGAGAAAGTCCTGCGTCTTCTTTGGCCGGGTCTAGAACTCCTCTGCAGGCAGAAGAGTAGGAAAGAAGTAGCCATATGTTAAGCTAACCAGGCAGTAGGCGGTGATTTCGGAATTTAGTTTATAATTTTATGAATTGAGGCATTTTTAGAAAGCTAGAATATTTACTTCAATTAAAACAAGTTGGCGGTAGCCACTTTTCCTCCAAAGATCGATTAGTGATGCACTCTCCAATGAATGTTCTTCGGACTGCCTGATGATTTTATATAAGCAACCAGTCGGCAATTTGAAAAGCACTTCTTAATAAACGTTTTCAGATAGAGCTATTAAAAAAAAGAATTCGCTTTGGAAGTTTTATTAGAAGAACTTCTCTTAACTAACCCTAAATTCGGAAAGCAAATAAAAAGGAGCGTTTCCAAAGAAAATAAAGAAAAGAAGTGGAGGAGGCACTGAAATTTATACTGGCTCATTATTTTTTGCTATAAATTTTCATCTTATAAGGGAAGCTGTAGCAGAAAGCATGGAGACGCTGGCCATTCTCTACATAATAAAGAATCTGATCTTGTAATACCGCCTAAATTTCGACAAAGCTGCACAGCAACCATCCCGAGTTTGGGATGTACCAAATAAATATAGGACTTTCCTCTATCGAGTCTGAGCCAAAATTATGTGATGCTCTACAGGTTGCTTCTGAAGCCCATCTTTTGTTTGCCAACTCCGCAAAGATGGGCTGAGAAATAGCCTATAAGATGACCTACTTCGTAGGAGAAAATTATAGCAGACACAGCTCGGCTGAACTGTTTCTTGCCTTATGGGTATTAACTATTAACTATGTTTAAGAGCGTCCATAAATAATTGCTTCTGCAGGTTGATTTCCCCATCAGGGTGAGAAGATGATATATTTTGGAACGAATATCCGTCATCCCTTGTCAAGTTTTATTTAGACACAAATCAGTTTCGGCATTGTGCCGTCTTCAGTGTAATTTTTTCTATCGAAAAGTGACGACGTTTAAAAAGACAATACCGGAATGACCCAGACTTATATTTGCTTAAGGACTGTCACTCCAGCGTCACTGCCAAAAATGTTTTGGAACATTTTTATGCCCATAGATAAGTGATTCTGCAAGCTATATGTATTTATAAATTCATCTTCTATGGTCGTATTCTGCATTGTATACTACTTGGACTGTATACTTTGTTGTTACTTGTTGTTACACTATTTGTATTCATCACACATTTACTTTCTTTCTTTCTTTTCACAGATGCGCTACACGAAAAAGGTTTCAATGTGGCCTGTGGGTCTGGTCACCAAGTATGGCGTGAGTAGTCCCATTATACGCGATGGCAAGATCACTGGTTTCTACGATGGTTGGATAGGTGGACGTAAATATCCTGTCGATATGGCTGGATTTGCGGTTAGCGTGAATTTCTTGCATGAGCGGCCAGCAGCAAAAATGCCTTTCAAACCGGGCTATGAAGAGGATGGTTTCCTGAAAAGTTTAGCGCCACTAAATTTGGCGGATATCGAGCTGTTGGCATCTAATTGCACGGAGGTAATTTTGAATGTATACATGAAAGTAGTTTTTTTCTTAAGTAGTTAAGTAGCTTTTATTAAATAAAAAATTGTATTGCTTACAGATTCTCACATGGCATACACAAACAAAAAAGAATGCAAATGCTACAGCGTTGAATGTGACATTGTATGGCGATACGAATTTAGCCAGGCTGGATAAAGTTTTAGTGCGTACGTAACTTATCATCAAAACTGAACATAAGTAAGCGGGTGTAATGTAAGCTAAGCTGCCGCAAGTTGGCGCAATCGTGGCGTGTGGCAGAGATGCTTTTGTAAAGCAGCAAAATTGTAAGCCTAACTAATCGCTTTCAAATAGGAGAGAAAGCTTTATGCTGCACTTCTATGCTGCATGTCCTGTAAAAATTTATATAAAACAATATTATTTAATAAGAATGCGAAAATTTCAACAGATTTCGGAAAGTGCGATTTTATAAAAGAAAAAGAGTGAGCACAAAAAAGGCATAAATTATGTATTAGCAATAATATTAGTTAGGCGCTTTAAAGTTGTACATACACACAAGTATTTTTTACATGCAATTTGTTATAAGAGAGTATTTGTATGTATCAATTGATGTTATACCACCAAAGCATATTTAGTCATTATATTTAAATGAGTTTAGCGCAGAAGGAGAGCGCAATCGCAATGATTAGCCTGTCAGGGAGTAATCGATTTATTAGGATACCTAAAACTTAGTTGTGAGCCATTTGTTAGCAATAATTTTCTTGGATTTTCATGCTCATGTGCATACATATACATATTTATATATTTTAAGCTATTATTATTAGCCTTAAGTTTGTATCGAGTAGTCTCCTCCAAACTCATTAGAGCTCAAATTTCCCAAGTATTTTGTAAGAAACTAAACATTTTATAAGGATATACAAGGTCTAAGGCAAAATTGTTTAAATAATTTTTCATTGAAATTTGTGTTTCGTTGTTTAAGCACCGTTAGTTAGCTTAGTACAAATTGTATTGTTTTTAAAATATATTTAATTTTCCTATAAAATAAAAGATTTTATGTTATAATTTTTGAGTAATATTTGAGAATTTCACGTTTTTTTTTTTTGCTTGTTTATAAAATGGAAGTGTTCCATGGCACAAAAAATAGAGGATTATATAAAATACTTAATAAGTCTTAAATACATACATATATACATAAGGACGACGCCGACTAAAATTATCTGTCATAGTTTTTTTTTCCATATCACACTTCTGCTGAGAAATATCTCTGGCGGTACTTGTGTTATCGAATCCAATACCAACCAACTCATCAATATCCTTAAAAACTCGAAATTGAATGTCCGAACGCGCGAGATAATCAATCTCATTCGAACGCTCAAATTGCTCTGTTGCTCTGATAGTATCATGCGTTTTTTTTAGCGAAGAATTCGCTGCCAAAAAAAAGCACTCTCATTAGAAAATACGTATTTGTTCGACGACATAGTAACCGTAGCCTTAAACGACTTAACACCGACCTGAGTATTGACCAAAAGAGAGATTCAGGTAAATAGAATGTGTCACATGAACGATAAAAGGCAAATCGGCGTTTAAAGTACATAAACGCGCATCGTCCTTCTGCAAAAACGCGTAACTGAGATTTTTGCCAAAAATTGGTTTTGCTCACACAAGCAAAACAGAACCATTTTGAAATATGAGTGTTTTTACTAGAAAATAATATATGAAACCTCACATACGCGGTTTTGTACTTTAAACGTTCTGACTATACTAATGAAAGATTCACACCCCTATTGCGAATGTCGACTGGTAGTTAAATAGACTTCACTCGATTGAGTCGATTATATTTTATTTTTGTATTACAAATTTTCATTGACAAAAATTTGCTCTATTGTGAATGGTCAGCAAAGCTGATCGCTGTTTGGGTCTTTGATTTTTGCATTTGTAATTTGTTTGATTTGCATTAGTTTAAAAATAATTGGATTAATTTCAAAATAATTTAAATAATTTCAAAATAATTGCTTTAAGCAAAAACCTAATACAAATTGATAGTATTGACCTGTGGTTTACTGATGATGAGGATGAAGTTGAAGCTGCTAAATTAATGGAGTTAGCAAAAGCAAGGAGGAAGTTGAGAGATTCAACTAATCCATTGGAGTTGGAAGAGCAAATTTATGTGAGTTTTATATACTACAGTGGCGGTCAAATATTTATGAAGGGTGTTTCGTTTTTAATATTTACAGTGTTTTTCAAGCTAAATTTTTTCATGATTTAACAAAAATTATATAAATCACAGTTTCAAACTTTATAAAGTATTTGAAAAATTCGAAAAATTGGTATCTAAATTTCGAGCCTTTTAACAAGAATTTATAGAAAAAAAAACTCTCGTAAAATAAGTACGGCTAGAAAAATCGCATTGATTTTTAATATTTTTTTTACGGCGTCAACGTCAGTTTGCCTAATTTTCGCCATTTATATGAAAAACCGTAAAAATCATCAGCAGAAAAAAGTTATTAAAAATCAATGCGATTCTTTAGCCGCTCAAAACTTGCACTTAGTTTACTAACATTGGATAAGCTTGTTAACTGCATACTCAAAAAATTTCTAAAAATTATGATTGAAAAGTTCGAAATTTAGATAAAAAAAAATTGCGGAAGTTTTCTGTATAAAGTTTGAAAGAGTGATTTATAAAGTTTTTGTTAAAGCATAAACCATATTTTTAAAAAAAAATATGGAAAAAAATTTTAACTTGAAAAACATTGAAAATATTTAAAACGAAACACCATTCATCCATTTTTGACCGCTACTGAATGTATTTAAGGAATTTACTAAAACATCGATTTTAACAGATTTTTCAAAATTTCCGTTTACCCAAAGCTACATTCATTGAACAGCGAAGAAAAGAAATGAAAGGCAAAGAGGTTTCTTTTTTTTTTCAAATAAGTGGAAGTGGAATACATGGCATAGTATAAAAGTTGCACTCACGGGACACACGCGACGGGGAACACTGCCCCTTAAAAGGAGCCTCACCATTTATACTATGCATAACGTGCCAAGGATATTTAAACTTAAATGCAACGAATTTAAATAATTAAATAGAGTTCGTTTTTTATTCCACTTTTTTGCATCACTTTTGCTCTGCTAACTTAAGCGATAGAGAAATAGCTGTATGTAGAAGGACGAGCGATTGAAAACCCTTCGTTGTCGTTACTTGAAAGAGAAATCGACACTGACAATACCATCGGCAATCGATATTAGCCTAATAGTCGTTTAACTACTTCTGGTCGGCGTTCACGATAAGGGTGCCAATAATTCTAGAAAATATTTGGAATCTTTTGGACAGGGAACTAAGAACTCTAGAACGACACCGCAAAAGAACGAGTAAAATTGCTGAAACAAAATTAATTTGATTAGTTAATTCGTATGCTGCAAAATGTACGTCGCGACTTACATACAGCGGATTTTTTTCCTCCATTTTACACTGCCGAGGACATTCTATTTTGGAAGGCCATTGCCTATTGTGGCCAAATAAAAGAATCAACCGTGGCATGGCTAAAATTCAGCATAGATTTATATGTGAAGGGAATGCTTACAGAAGAAATTTGTTTTGTCACTTTGTTTTTATTTGATACGCGTTTAACTGAAGAATGCCACTGGCTTCACTCTTATTTGGTCTCTGGTGTATCAACGGTGTCAGTTTGTTTAGAAGAATCCCGGGAGCTACGCGCTTTTAATCTCAATGAGAAAAATTATTTTATGACATAAAAACGACTGCCACCATTTTTTTAGGTATAAAATGTTACAATATGTCCATGAAATAGGCCATGAAGAAATTGAAAGGTTTACATCGATTTTAAATATGCGAACATCTCTATACGTTTAAATTCGAATTATGAACCCTTTATTCATATGTAGAAAAATCGAATCTTGTTTCAGAGCGTTTTCGACCCTCAAACGACGTTACAGGGGATGCAAAAGTAGGTACAAATGTACGTTTTTCCGACGTTTGATGACTTAAAAGTATATTAGGTACAGTCACTAGCTTTTAGGTACAATCATCTTTTGATCAGCAGTTTTTTTTTTTTTTAATTTCATTTTTCGTTTACCGTACTAATATATTTGCCTATAGGCACTAGAGTGGTCCAAAAAAATAAAGTCGGAGTTTTAATGCCGGCACACCCTAGGATTGATCTATATCGAAAAAAATATACCCCCATTTTTTATTTTGAAATCAAAAAATATTTAGGGAGTGCTCAAAGCGCTCAAAGTTTTCCATGTATTTTATACACGGTGGGCAGGAAGCTAAGATAGGTTGCATAAAAATGTCGACAAAAACTGAAAGCAGGGATGTATTTGTTGATATTTTTAGGTTAAGAATCCCTTTGAATTGAAATCCTAGCTGCTCCTGTTTTAAAGATATCCACATTTTACATAGTTATGATAGGACCAACTTTTGCGAAAGAGAAAAACATCCTTGTGCATTAAATATTCAACAATGTATGTGTGAGTAAATGTGTGTATATATATTATGTGAAAATATAAGTTTATGTAAGTTTTTAGCCGGTTTCAATCGTTTCCAAGGCGCACCACGTAGAGGCAACTTACTTTGCACCTCTTTGTTCTTTTTTTAGTTTTATTTTTTTATATTTTTATTTTCTTTATTTTTTTATATTTGTTTTTTGTTTCCTTTTATTTTTTTTGTTGGCTTACCATATAATATAGTCACACATTTTAGTATTTAAATATTTTATTACTTAGTTAAGTTTTTATATATGCTGGAATGAAAATGTCATTACAGTTTTCTTCAGGCGACTCACAAAAGTTGGTTTATCAATCATATTTATTTTGAATCTATCCCAGAATTTAATGAATTCCATATGAACTGACTTCCCGGCCTGCTCGGACCATAATCCTAAACCATCGTTATTCAAGAATGAAATAGATTGCTTTAAATGTTTAAGGATAAAATGGGTTTTGACAGTTTGAGAAATTCCAGTACTTTTCAAAGCTGTGCGGAGTTCGTTATGATTTTTATCAAAATTACTAAGATCCGCTTGTTATGCGGAAAACCATGTATTCACGATTTTGCTCATGTCTTTGAACGAGGCAATATATTTGGTATTGTTTTTACTGAGAGTTTCTTCCATACAAACTATGTTTGACATTTTTTTGTATGTGGAAAACACTGTCAGCAATAAATAAATAATTGCAAAAAATCAACGAAATTTTCTGGTAACTTCAGACTTGTACTTTACTAATTGGCTCAAAAGCTACATTTTAAACATTTTTCTAAAAGATCTGATTAGAAATTGTGATCAGATGAAAGTGTCTCCGAGCCAATAATTTTGTACGGCACGGTACTTATAAGTAATCTAGGTTTCACGAAAAAAAATAGTAAAATAAATACAAGGTAACATTAAAATATCAGTCATTTGTTTCGTTGCTGTGAGCTTGTTTCAAAACTTCTGGCTTTTGCTATAATAGTAAAACTCTGTGCATGTCATTTTAACGTATTTAGGTACATACTTATATTAATCATCAACTATTGCTTATACAAAACGTGCTACATTAAAAAAAAAAAATTGCATATGAAAGAGCACCAACCCAACTCGTAATAATTTAAGTATACAAATTTTATTATTTAGTATCGAAATATTCAATTAAAATACGCCAATATTAAAATGAAGCGCTTTGCACTTAACGGATGCTTTTTCATAATTAAGTTAAAAAAAAATGTATTTAAATCCATGCTGTCTGTAATGGGATTTGAACCCTGACGCTCTGGGAATTAGCAAATTGTGGCAAGCACCTTCGTGCACTCAGCTACAGCCAGACATGTTAATGTGCATTCAAATGTTCAGTTTGATTCAACATCACGTGTGCGTGGTATGAAAGTATTGTTTTTAAGTACGAACATTTCAAAACGATATTCAAATAAAAAATATTCATGTTTACTATGCGTTATTTCCCCCAGTAAATTCATAAAATTTTTCTTA